TTAATGTGTAATTATTGCTAAAATCTATTGGCTTTGGGAGCGCAGAAATGGAGGGTGACATATGCAATGCCAATATTTGAAAATGCCTCTGGAGCTATTTGTGGAAGAGATGCTAGTAGTACTGATATGCATGGCAGAAAATTACCAGAAAGTATGCTTAAGAACAGAAAAAACACACAGATAGTAACACAGGCTAAAGGGGAAATGTAAGTGCGGTTTTTGGAGGCCAGGTCTCAGTAATTTAGACAAGTTCTTTGAATGATCACGCAGATACGGGTAATTTGGCTGATACAATGTACTTCCATTTCAAAAAGCTTCTGATGAACTTATCTATCAGACCCAAACTATGCTGTCAAGGAGGAAAAACAAAAAAGATGTCAAGAAATAAAAATGTCTTTTCACTGCTAACTAAAAGCAAAAAAAAAGGTTAGGAATAATTGGTTGCTTTCTTATACAGTGGACGGATATTACCTGACAGTCTCACAGATATGTGTTCAATACACTTATAAATTATCTGGAAAATGGAGGAATAAAAAGGGACAGAGTTTTCTGATGATATTAAATTACAGAGGTTAATAAAACCTGACTGTCAACTGCTGCAAAAGGACTTAATGATGCTGAATAAGCATCAGATAAACAGACAGATAAAATTCAATACAACTAAATACAGTCAGACACACTGGAAAAAGAACACCAAACCAACAGTCCCAGGTATGCACTACTTCCTACAAGATGTCTAAGATTCAGTTTTTCACAGTACAAGAATTACAGCCAAATTAATAATCCAGTAGCAAATTTACAACAAGAAGTTGGTGTTTTTTCCACATACTCCACGATTAAACTTTGGAACTCCTTGCTATGAGATACTTTGAATATCAAAAGAACACAAATGAATACGAGACACAATTATTGGCAAAAAAGACTCTTGGAGGCTATTAATTACAAAACTGCTATATAGTGTCTGGCTTCAACGTGTCTGCAAGATAAATACCTCAAAGGAAGCTGAGATGGCTTACTACCTGCTTACCCTGTTTTTAACACTTCTTTCCTGAACATCCAATGTTGGCCACTGCCAAAGAGAGGACACTGGACTATAAGTAACTTTGGTTCAATCCAGTGCAGCCATTTTTATGTTGTGTGATAATCATGGATGCTGCTGGCACCCAAATAATTTAAAACTGAGAGGCAAAACCATCTGCATTTCGGAATCAAGACACTCATCTTAAAATAGCTTACATTTAGCTATTGAGGAAGTGGATCAAAGGCTTTTGAGAAAACCCTCTGATAGATTTTAACAGACTTCGATTGCAGACTACAGCATCACCTTGTAAAAAAACCCAAAATAAATACTGCTATTATTGGTTAGAAATAGGGCTTAACTAAACCTCCAGCACTCAACACTTCTGCTTACAGAGAATAAAGGGTGGAATCCACCCTGAATTGGGCCTAACCAACAGCCAAATTAAAAATCCCAAGAGACTAATTCTAAAATAAAAAATGAAGAAAAAGATGCAGTAGTTGATCTGATTCCTGAAATCTCTCACATCTAACCTCCAGATGAGATTAATTACTCTTCAGAAAAGCTCTTTTCTCTCCATTGAGTGTAAAGGCAGTCCAGTTCAGATGTAGAAGTCTTCATTAGAGTTATCTAAAATCAGATTAGATGAATCCCACAGCCCTGGACTCTCATTGAAGACTGACTTAACTTTCATCTGTACCTCTTGTGCAAACCAAACTCCTCCATACAGTGCAGAACAAATCACTTTGAAGAAATGCAAGGACAATTTTAATGATAAATTGTAAATTTTGAGGTTACTGAACCGGAGAGTCAGAGAATGTTGTAAATATGCTGTAGCTACTTACATCGGTTTTAGGTCGTGCTCCAGTTGATGCTGGGTAAGGTAAACAGTCTAGATCCTGGTAGTCTGCTCTTCTATTTTTCCAAGATCCCTTTCCTTGATGATCTCCATAAAAGCCTGCCTCCCCTTGAACAGGGCACTGTAAGAGAATTTTAAAAACCCTGTAAATAAAGGCAAGTCATAAATAATTTTAATGTGAATGCAAGATAAAAACATTGGAATTTTAACTTTTTAAAGCTTTTTTTCTCTGATGTAAGGTAAACATTTGGCCTTGGTCTTTTGTCTTAAAACCACCTGCTGCATCATTTTTACATTTTACATTTTGCTAAGTTAGACATCCAGACATCAGGTGAAATGGTTTCCTTAACATCTAGTATGTAGACCTGGAAAATTAATAAGTAGTAGTACACCTTTCTAAATTTCAAGTCACCTCTACCTAAGAAAGAAAGATAGTTTTACTCAAACTATTTAAACCTGTCTTTCACTTTATTTCATGTTCATTTTTCTAACTTAAAACAGAGTCCCAGCAAATTCCCATTTTCAAATCACAGACACTGAACTTTCCAAATTCACTTTTCCTTGTCCCCCAAACCTGGGGAGATCTCACTCAATTGCTCCACTCCCACACCATCTCTTAAAAGATGCATGTCCTAACTCTGGGCCCACGTGTACCTGGCCACACTGAATGCAATGCCAAGAAGAGATCAACTGCAGAACATTCCATGTATCCTGGTTTGCCTCAAAAGAACAATAAGGTGTGCGAGCAAGGACCAAGCCGCGCTGCAGTCCAGCAGAATCCATGATGGGGAACAATCAGTGAACCAGGATCATGGGTGTGCTGCAGAGCAGTCCCAAGCTGTTGGGTACAATCAATCAAAATTAGTCCTTTTTCTGGCTGCTCCCCTTCACAAGAGGACAAATTTGCTGCTGGTCTTTAACAGCAACTGCCTAATTCCCAGTTAGTATATTTTTAGGACATTAAATGAGGAGGCTTTGCAAAGCTCCTGTACTGAAATTGGCTCTTGGAGGTTTAAAGGACATTTCCAGTCTGCCAAATGAGGCCACAATAAAAATGTGGCCAATTCACACGATGTTTGCCTGTCCATAGACAATTAAAATGAAGCAAGCTCTCCTGCTTCAGAATGGGAGGAAGACGTGACCTGATAGAGAGGAGTGTAACTGCTCAAATATCATATTGAGGAAAATACTAGCTTTGGCATTGATGTTAGAAACATACTTGAAATATTTCTGGACTTATCCAAACAGATCCAACTATTGGTAAGGGAAGCAAGTGTGCCAAGACCAGTGAGACTGGCTTGGAGGTAGGTTTTATCTGCATATTAAGCATGACCAGCTCTGTATCACTAGCACAGGCTTTTGGTGGTGGAATACTTCCCAGGAAGAAGGCTGTGCCCGAAGTCCTGGCTTCTGTACTCAGAAGATGTCTTACCACTAGGCTTCAGTAAGAGAAGTGCAAGCATCTGGGATGCTGGTGTTGGCATTCTCTACGCAACTGCTTTTGATGTTGCTGTTCTTGCATATCAAAAGGCATTTGAAAACATTGTCTGTTTGGATTTGGTTTTCTGCTGTCTACAGGCTTCACTGAATGCTCCAGCAATGGATTTCAAGTCCAGCTGTCCTACGATGTTCAAGTCATCATGGAAAAAGAATGATGCCTAACCAAACCATAGGTTCTGCCTTACTAGAATAGGCATAGCCATAAAATCACAGGTGTTTGATCACTAGTTACCAAAACCATACTGCCTCACAACAGGAAGTGCTTAAACTCTGATGGCTTGGATTTCATTTTTAGATAGAAAAGCAGACTACGCTGCCACCACGGTTTGACAGAAGATGTTGAGCAGTCTCCTACAAGAAGACAGAACACTCTCCATTAGTTGGCAAATTAATGATGAAATTAATTCAGTTGGACAGACCTGGTTTTGACTTGCTGACATGTACAATAAGAAAGAAATGAGAGACAGTCATGGCCACTCTGCTGCTAACACTCTCTCTGCAGAATATGAAAATGCATATTGCAAAGCACAACACCAAGATGCAAGATTCCAAAAGTCCTACCTTGAGGGACATGAACATTTACACTGTGATCCGCGCATTTACTTAAAGAATTTACTTTTAGAAAATGAAGCGGCACTGAAACAGCAGCAACAGCAAAAGCATTCAAACAAGCTCACCTTCCAGGAATTTCAAGCCAGCACTAACATTCAGAGCTCCAAATCCAAACAACTCTATCTTAAGAACTGACTTTAATCATAGCCTAAAGCAGAGAACAAACACTCCTACTTCTCATGCTGCTCGCTCTCCAGTTACTTGCTTCTATAAAAAATCTTGCTTATTCAAAAATTACTAAAATAATACCATTGCTCTTTAATCCCATTTGCCCTCAAAATAAAAGCTTTGGAAACTGCATGTCATCAATTGATGACACCTGCCACCACAAAATGTTCTTAACTAGAGGAATGAAGCTCTAAGTCAAAAATTCAGACAAAATAAACAAAATTCAAATCTTAACGAAGATGTTGCTGTTATGTCTTTCAATAAATTAAGGATGAATAGGGTAGCACTGGAGCTTTAAATTGACAATATTCTGTTTTGAAAAGCTATCAAATGCAATCATCTGAATTCAAATTCCCCTCTAAAAAGAAGGTGTTTAATGTTTGTAAGCCATATTAACAGAAAACATACAAGTTTCATCCTATGGCATTTCTGTTTATTTGGCTGTTGTCTAGTTGTTCATGAGATGTCATTATTGTTGAGTGAAAACTGTAGCTTACTTCATCCTTGAACCTGAGCTCCTCCGCCTATGCAGAAACACAACCAGATCTGAAAACCATGGCTTGATGAGCATCTGATAGCTAAACACTAGAAAATGTATTATACGACACACACGTTCTTACCAGTTGCTTGTGCCTTTTAGTAGAAGGAGTACTGGAGGGAGAAGAGCCAGCACTCAGAGCTTCTTCAATATCTAAATTCAACTGTTCCAGCTTCTTCATAAGACATGACATAGAGTCTGACCATTCAGATCCTTTTTCTGGTTGGGTCTAAAAGAAATCAAACATACATGAAGTCTTAAAACATTTGAGCTTTTTGAAACTTTCCTTGGGAAATTTTCTCCATTTAGAAAGCTTCAATTATCACTCCAATCCTGATGACACATATTCATAGCTTTCTTCATACTCAAATGATCACCCTCCACTTCTGTGTATCTGAATGGCTTTCTAACACTTCATCTTGGGTGAACCGCTGCCAGCTCAAGATAAGCACAACCAAGACCAAAACCAAAGTAACTTCAATGTCTCCTCCTTAAGCCACTTCTATTTCAGCATGAAATGATTGCTTGTTGTAAGAATCAGAACATTGAAGGTCATCGTGTGCACTGTATTTTATTCCTTACTATAATTCCAGACTTCATCATATCTTGCAGCTTTCTTCTGCCAATCTGTTGGGAATACCTTATTGGTCTTGAACAGTTTCTGTTTTCATGGATGTATCTTCCCCTTTTATCTGAACTGCTTCACCGTATAATGAAAACCCTAATCCATTGTAGTGTAACTGCTGAAAATACTTTTCCTGTTCCTTAGTTTCCTCAAAGTCCTTTCCAGTGACTCCTCTAAGCATCTTTCCATGGCAGTCCCTGTGCATGCTGCTGCATTATGCCTCGTTTTCCTCATTCAAATCACTTCTAAAGATTCGCAAGAAAAACATGGTCACGCTGACCTCCCTGTCATCACTGGCAGCTACAGCTCTCCAGATTAGTCTGTCCCGAAGCTGACTTCAGCTCTTTCGTCTGTCTTACTTTCACAAACAATACCTATCTTTGCACAGAGGATAATTTCATGGCAAGCAATTCTACCAGACTGAGCACACAAACAGTAATAGCGCATTGCCATCCTGCCAAAATCCTAAGAGCACCACACCAACACACCATGATACCTAGGGGAGCTACATGAATATTGTTACTATTCTTACTGATAAATCTTCATGGTGGTTTGTTTCCTTATGAGGGTTTCACAAGGGGACAGAGATATATTTGTAATTTGCTCACTATTGTAGAAAAAAGCTTTAGGAATAGAATCTAGGAGGCTCACTTTGCTGTTACACTGACATATATTTTTACTAACAGAATTGCTCATCTTCACCACAGTAACTAAGAATAAGGCTCCAGATCATCAGGTATCTGGTCCCATATTACCAATAGAAGCACATTCCCTTCAGAGGGGCTAGTATTATCTTTGTAGGGATTGTTTCGAAACACAGAAAATTAAATATCCAATCTTTAGTTTTCCAAATCTTTATTTGGCATTTCCTGAATCTTTATAACCTCCAAGTATTTTTCCTGAAATGCTGTTAAAAGTGCTAAGCTGTATTTCAACTCTGTATCTATTAAAATTATTTAAACAGATTCTTTACTTCCCATTGTCTTCCCAAACATTTTCAAGTAAGATATAGGAAATACAGGATGTTCCACAGAAAGTGAATATCAAAAGACACTCCTCACGTTGAATCCTTTCTGAGTGAGACGATCTTACACAGGAAATGTGCATGTTGATAAATGTCTACAACACTAATTTCTAGACAAAGTAAAAATTCTACATTTCCCTGTAGCTATGCTTCCTCATGTACTGATCTTTCAAATACAAAGAATGCTCAAAAACCCCAACAAGGGAAAACCACATAACCCAACCCCAGCTCCAGCAACAATGAAGGTAGAAAGTCTGTCAAAATCTAATATGAAGGTTCTGTTTCTCAACACAGTTAAACTGTAATTTAAGAAAAAGGAGCTGTAAGAATGTGCTTTCTTACAGATCAGTGGTAAACAATTCTGAGGCAACAATTACATACGGAAATCAGTAAAATGCATTTGATTTCAGTGAGCTATGCAAGAACTGTACTTGCCAGGTGACAAACATTGAAGGTTACATTAGAAGTTAGGATTTTTTAGTTCAGTACAAAGTAGGAGAGATTTACACAGGTGCAAACAGTCTGTTTTCTGTTCCCATGACAGAAAAGAGTATTTTGAGGGGCTGGAGGGGTGTCTCTAATTTAGTATTTTCCATAGAAAATGCAAAGATGAAAATTCATGAAGACTTTAAGAAAGGCTTCCAAATATTTCTGGTGAAGACACTCCAAATGCATGTAATAATTCGCATATATGATAGAGTGTTACTATAAAAAGTACAGCTCCATGCTTTGGGAGGCACATTTTGCCTTTATCTCGACAAATATTTACCTACTGGAACAATATTTCCAGCATTCATCAACACTCTGCAATACATCCGTATGAGCCATCCCCCCTTATTTTTATAGATTTCTTGTTTTACTGTAACAGAACTCAAGCCACAGTCATTCCTTAAAAACACAAGTTCTAATGAGTTTCCCCAAACTATAATTCTCCTGGTTTTCTCCATTCAGTTCTGTCTTTTTTAGTTCAGTAAGACTGTATATTGTGTCTATTAAGGGGATGAGGGAAAAGATGGGTTTTCATTATCCTTCAAGATAAAGCCAAATGGGCCTAGTTAACAAATGCCATTCACTAACTGGAAATTTGGCACAAAAGCACCATTTGGAACAAATGCGGATTGGCTATATATTTCAAAGGTTGCCTACTTACATTCAAAAATACACAGCCTGCACAGTAGGACTTCTAACCAGTGAATAAATTCTGCCTAATCCATTCACAAGGAACACAGCTCCCCAGTGTTCAGCTCTAGTAACTAGGTTGGACGCTATCAAAGTGCTCAGAAGAGCTGAGCATCAGTGTATCCTGCCCATAGCAACTGCAGAGGCAGTAGGGTCAGGGCATCTTTGGAAGCTTTTGTCTCTTGCCCTTCAGGAGGAAAAAAAAAATCACTCTAAACTATGGTCTGCTTTATTAATTGTTTTTCCCCTAAAAAGGTGTACAGGGAGAACACTCCTTTCCATACACTCTCAAGGTCTCCTTTCTTTATTGGAGCCACAGTCATTCAGCAATGCATAGGAATGTTGTTATCTTTTGAAGAACCTGAAAAGCTTGGAGACAGAAGTGCATTACATCAACACTTTTTGTACGTTACCTCGGAATACAGAATCATAGAATTGTTTAGATTGGAAAAGACCTTTTAAGATCCTCAAGTCCAACTGTTAACCTAACTCCGCCGTCCCACCACTAAACCATGTCCCTAAGCACCTCGTATACCGATCTTTTAAATACCTCCAGGGATGGGGACTCAACCACTTCCCTGGGCAGCCCGTTCCAGTGCCTGACAACCCTTTTGGTGAAGAAATTTTTCCTAATATCCAATCTAAACCTCCCCTGGTGCAACTTGAGGCCACTTCCTCTCATCCTACCATAGACAGATGAGCAGTAGTAGAAAGTGAGACCAGAGAATCCTCATCAAACAAATTTTTCTAGGTGCAGCAACCTTATCTATGAAGATCATGTCATACATTAGGCAGACGATGATATACTGGCCTTGAAAGTGAACTCCTTTGCCATATGGATTTCTCAAGTGTTAAATACACTCAGGTTAGACAAAAAAGAATAAAAATATCATAAACCAGAAGTACCATCCTCTATGCTAAATATAAAATTAAGTGGTATGTGCTTCCTTAAACTTAAAGCAGTTACAAATGTAGCTATTATGCTTCAGATGGTTATTGTATATGAAGAACTAACCCAACTATTTAATATTTACTAAGACACATTTAGGAATCAGCCAAACATAAAATTTAGTTGTAGGTTGCTACTTCCTACAGCAACCACAGCTTGGTTTAGAACAGCAAGCTTAATGTTTTTGTTACATGTACACATTCATATCCAGATTCTGTGTTTACTTACGTAGCTGAAATTTCACTACTCCCAATAACAAATTACAGAGGTAAAACAGGGCGCAAGTTTATGGTCCATCACCTAAACAATTACTTGCTCTTTTCTTAGACTGAGAAATAAGTACATTCCAGACATTCAACTATTTATGCCTTTTGGACCAAAGGCTTCTGCACCCTGTTTTTCAGCTTTCAAGTGTTCTTCACTAATCTTATTCAGCAAAAACATCTGTGATAAAAAGCATATTTGTTTCAATGTTTTGCCCATGAAGCTTATTGCAATAGGCATAATAGCTGCCAGCAAATCTAAATTTAAACTGAAAGAATGTGGCAGAAATGAACAAGTCCATATAGAACACTCAGAGGTCAGGGTTAACCTCACTGCCAGACCTCATCCTATACTGGAAGCAGAAAGGCTTCCAAGTGAAGGGTTATGAGCAAATTACACAACTCTAAATTTATCTGGTAACTTGTGGCTTTCAGTTCAGAAACTTTCAATAGGTCCAATTGTTCTGATAATTAATGTATTGTACAACTTCGAGTGATAAATTACTAACCTCTAAATAAAAAAAATACCAATGCTATTTAACTCTCCTCCCCAATACTAAATTGGTTTAGATAAAATTCTCTCTGATGTACAGCCTAGATCTGCAAAGAATGATTTTGTGGAAATATTTCGGGAGACCAAATATCATATTTTGCTCTTGCTGCACTGATGGGGTTCCTCCATTCTCAAAAGCAGCTCTGTGTAAAAGAAGGTCTCTCAGCCACTGGTGGCTTTGCCTACAGGGGCTGGGGGAGGAAGCCAGATTGGGTCCTTATACAAAATCCTTCCAAAAAAAAAGTATTTAGAATATAAAGAACTCTTTTATTCTCAAAATAGATTCATGTGCACTTCTATACTGAAGATAAAATATTTCAAAGGGAATTTTCCCTCCTATCCCCCTATAGTGTTGCTTAAATATTTATAGAGCTTTTAGATGGACAACGAACTTCCAACACTTTCCTCCTGGAAAGCAGGTAAAGTAAACTCTGCAGTTAGCAGCCTTTCCACTTCTGAGAACTGTATTGCTACCCATCTGAAATGACCAGCTGAAATGTCTCTTCAGTCTCTCAAGTCAGCACCCAAAACCACGCGTGTAGACAGGTTGTTGAGAAAGAGAAAGCTCTTCAGGTATGTCGCATAAAATTCAGAGCAATCTGGATCCTTCTGATCCCCAAAACATGGAAACATTCA